TAAACAATCGTATTCAGATCGATGGTCAGTTTGTTGAAGGGAGGCAGGCTTTGGGCGAAGGCATTGCAAATAAATATAAGCTTCTCTTCCAGGAATCCATAAATGAACGGCCTTTTCCTTTGGGGTATGCGAACAGAGTCTTAGATGAGGAGGACTGCTTGTTGATTGCGTCGAGCGCGAGACTTTATACCTGTATTTCAACAACTTAACCACAAATAATCTCAATTATATTGATTTACCCAATTGAACTTAAATGACTAACTTAAGATTAATTTAACTTAATGTGACAGCTAGCTAATCCCTTGGTCTAAGCTCTACTCACTAGTCAACCACCTTAGTGTAATCCCTCGTTTAAAGCTACACTTAAACTTAATAAAATCAAAGCCTACTCAATTAAGCCTAGCGATGTTAGCTGATCCGGTTTCTAAGCCCAACTACTCAATATATGTAAAACCTCGCTTTTCACTCGGTTGGGCTTCTAAGCCCAGTAGCTTTCGGTTAGGCAGATGAAGTAAGCGAACCCTAAAGAGAGTACCAGCCCAAGCGAATTCTTGTCCTAACCCCACTTCTAAGCGATGAGCATAAAACGACAGAGTATCAGCTAAACTAAGATTCCCTTTCCCGCTCCTAGGATTTCGATCAAAACAAATCCTCCTTCTGTTCGTGAGATGAACAGGGGAAGAACAGCAAGAACACTTCAATAAAAAACCCAGGCAGTAATCACTCAGATAAACCAAACCCTGGTTCAGTGAGTTCCCAAATCCTGTCCAGGTACGCAGCCCTTCCTGGAGACTCGTGAGCCGACTCCCTTGCAAAATTAAACCTGGAACAGAAAACAAACAAAAGGACACAGACTGGAAACTGAAAACAGAAAACAAACACAGCTCACGATTTTTACGTGGTTTCCAGTATTGGGAGAATGAGGATCCCAATACTGACTACTCCACGGTCAGAGAATCACGATTGTGTGATCTCCGACGAATCACTATGATTTTGCGTTGAAATTCGTCGTTACAAGCTATCTACCTAAGAGCCCTTTGATCAATCTCAACCCGATTGATCAAATACTCTCTTCTCAAACCCGAATTGCTTCCCCAGCAACTCGAAACCAGTGTTTCCCCAACACTAACCTTCAAAGCAATTCTCCCCGAACCCTTTGAGAAAACCCCTTTCCTATCAATCTAGCTATTCTCACAAAATCCCCTTTTGTCTTAGCTAGCTCTTTTGATCACTTGAAAGGTTGCCTTTCCTCTTGCTTTAGATCGCCTTTTATAGGCTGCTATGTAGCCGTTGTTCCTCAATATTCTTGCTGATTTGAAAACTCCACAAAAGGTAGGCTTTTGATCTTTCTCCTTTTGTCCTGAATACCTTCCTTAACTGCTTTGGGCTGCCAATACATTTCCAGCTGTGATTCTTTGACATTTGAATCTTGACTTGGCCTCCAAGTTGTATGAGATTCAGCCATTGTCAAGTTGATGCTAACACTGCATATCTTTATCTGGGAAGTTTACTGAGAAAGAAATTTGGGATGCCATTAGTGCGTGTGACGTTTCAAAGCACCCGGACCAGATGGTTTCACCATAGACTTTTACAAGAGGTGCTGGTCACTTTGCAGAAAAGAGATCCTATTTGCTTTTGAGGAATTCCATGCTAATGGTTATTTGCCGGACAAAGTCACTCATGCTTTCATTTGCCTTACCCCGAAGACTGATGTGGTTGAAAGTGTCAAAGATCTCTGCCTGATCTGCCTCATGAGCAGTTTTCACAAAATTGTTAGCAAAGTGCGTATGAAAAGAATGAGTGTTGTCCTGCCCAAGCTGATTTCTCGTAACCAACACGCTTCTGTTATTGGTAGGCACATATCAGAAGCTGCGTTGATCGCAAATGAACTTATCGACAACAGAAAGAAATGCAGAAAACCGGGTCTTATTTTCAAGCTTGACATCGAAAAGGCCTTCGATAATGTTAGTTGGGGCTGCCTATTCAATATTATGAATTGTGTTGGTTTTCCGGCTAAATGGCAGCAGTGGATTAAGGGTGATATGTGTTCTCCTATGACTTCTATCTTAGTTAATATAGAACCGTTTGGTTATTTCGGCTCGAGCAAGGGCGTTCTCCAGGGCGATCCTCTTTCCCCTGGTCTTTTCGTTCTCGTCATGGATGTCCTTTCATTTCTCATTTCGAAGCTTCGTGAGGAAGATGGTATCTCGGGGTTTTTCATGGACGAGATTAGGGGAGTTGACGAAGTTACGCATCTCTTTTTTGCGGATGACTCCCTCATCTTTTGCGTTGCTTCAGTGAATCAAGTTATTAATTTACCAGCGCTCCTGGTATGCTTCCAATCTATCACAGGGTTGAAAATCAATTTGGATAAGTCTATTATGTTTACCGTTGGGGACTTCCCAGAACCTGACTACTTTGCTGCAATTTTTTGATGTAATTGGAGTAATGATCCCTCGAAGTATCTTGGGCTGCCTTTGGGGGACCGTCCAAATGCTGTGTCTATTTGGAATCCTATGGTGGATAAATATCAGGGTCGGCTTCAAGGTTGGCAGAACAGACATCTTTCTTTTTGGGGCTAGATTGACCCTCAATACTTCTACTCTTAATAGTCTCTCGGTGTACCACTTCTCTCTTCTTAAAGCACCAAAGATAGTTATTAACAGTTTGGAGAAGATCCAACGTCGATTCTTGTGGAGTGGAGCTGGCAGCAATGATAAGATGCATTTAGTTAGCTGGGACGTCGTTTGTAAAGCTCCAAAAAGTAGATGAGGATTAGGGGTTGTTGATTTTCTAAGTTTCAATAACGCCCTCCTCGGTAAGTGGTTGTGGAAATATGCTACGGAAAGAGATAGCTGGTGGAGAAATCTTATCGCAATCAAATACCATCACTCTATTTCTGAATGGAGACCAAGAAGGCTCGAAGAAGGCTTTAATAGCTCTGTTTGGGCTAATATTTGCAAGGTGGAAGACATATTATGGAAAGGGGCTTGTATCGATCCAGGTTCGGGCATTGGTATTTCGCTGTGGCGCGATACTTGGATCCCAGGAGAACTGCTAGCAACCTCATTTCCGCGGGCTGCTGCTGCTTCCATTCCTAATGCTAGTCTTGCTGATGTCGTCTCTTGGTCAGGTGAGAACTTCTTGTGGGAAATTCCTTTTTCTATTATTCTCCGGGGTGGGGCTGAGAGAGAGATATATAATCTGTTAGAAAAGGTTAATGTGAATTCTTATAGACTATCGATTGGTCCTGGCCGTGTAGTCTGGAACCTTTGCTCTGATAAGAAATTTTCTGTGAGCTCTATGTATAAGCTGCAGGTTGAGGATCGGTTTCATGGTGTCGAAGACTTCCCTTCTCAGGTTGTGTGGAGAAGCATTATTCCGACAAAGATTTGTGGTTTTCTTTAGCTTGTATGGCACAAGAAGATCCTTACCATCGACAACCTGGAGAAAAGATGAATTCATTTGGCAAACCGATGTGATCTCTACCTCAAGGAAGAGGAAACCAGCAATCATATATTCACAAGTTGTTCGTTTGCAAAGAGCGTGATGTGGGAGCTGTTGACAGTCTTTCCTAGGATTGGTTTCTCTTCTGATGATATAACGCAAGTTATTAACCAGATTGAGACCCGCAATCCTGTTGGTGTTGATGGTTGGTTCAGTTATTGTCTCCTCCATGCTTTCTGCTGGTTTGTGTGGAAAGAGAGAAATCAGAGAATTTTTCAGCAGGTTGCTTGCTCGCATTTGGTGGTTACTAAGAAAATCCTTTGCGCGATCGTTGAATGGACGATTGCGCATGGTAGGATAAGCAAAGAACAGGGGCATCTCCTCTTCCATCATTGGCGAAGAGTCTGATTTCTTGGCTACCCCTGTTAAGCTTTGCAGTTCCCTTGTGCTGAGTTACCCTCTTGTTTTCTTACACTTTACATCTAGTCCTCCCTTTTTGTACTGTTTTTGTTCCCCTTTGGCGGTGTTGACCAGTGGTTCTTTTTTTTTTACTGTTTCTGCTTCCTTTTTCCATTCATCGTGGGAGCTGTCCTGTACACTTGTTTTATTAATCTAAGTTCATCATCATTATAAAAAAAACGAGTGATTGTTATATCTCAGCTTTTAGTCATGATTGTTGAGATTGTTTTGTCTAAGCTTTTAGCTGATGTGACATACACAATCACACATACCAAACGTTGTTTTTTACAATGCATCAATTTCAACAATACATGTTTAATATTATACATGCATTCACAAACAATACATCTATTTAACAATCGCAACTTCCAAACGACCCGTATGTTCAATGAATTTTGATATTAATACTGTGTTTTGCAAGAGAACGATATAAGATCGATAATCAATCTTCTTTCTATCACTTTCTTAAACGTCCTTCCAAACAAAATTCAATTCATGTGTTTGAAATTCGCACATAGCATCATAACTGTGTTTAATCACTTATTATAATATCGTGGGTCGTGCAGATGAAAACACATAATCATTTGGCCAAACCAAATATAACATACCATGTCAAGAACCAATCGCGATGAAAAAAAATTAATTACTAATCCTATATCCCTCTCTAACAAACCTCAATCCTTTATTTTCGAAACCCAAACCTTATGATACTCCACCACGATGCTGATTCGTCAAAATATAGCTGCTGAGTTGGTCGTGGAGATTCGAACACATGACGTTTCGGTTCTAGGCTCTGATACCATGTCATAAACCAGTTGGTCCCAATAACTCAAGTTGTTGAAAGAAGGTTATGTTGGATCTTATACCACTCTCTAACACCCAGAACAAGGCGAAAAGCTCGTCAGCTTCATCACATACCAATCCTATGCGCGTGCTTCTTGGAGCTCTGTTCCCAATCTGGCAGGTCGAACAATCGGCTTTTACTTTGCCCCCTCTCTCTCTATATATGGATCTGTAAAATTTAGTAACAATATGTGAATATGTACATATGTATAGGGCTGGAAAGGTGCGGGAAGAGCTGCAGGCTGAGGTGGATGAACTACCTGCGGCCAGACCTGAAGAGGGAATGTTTCAGCGTGGAAGAAGAGAGGATGATCCTCCCTCTCCACAGGATGCTAGGCAATAGATGGGCTCAGATCACCATACATCTGCCCAGTCGCACCGACAACAAGATCAAGAACTTCTGGAACTCGTCCGTCAACCTCCTCCCCGCTCCACAAGCCGGCCATATTAATTACTCATATCTCAGCAACCACTCATTCCCTGCAACAACCTCAGCTTCTTCTTCACTATGAATCGTCACCTTTACTATTCAGCGTAGCTCCTGATCATGATATCTGTCAAGAACCAGTTGATCCCAATAACTCGAGTTGTTGGAAGAGGTTCAATCGTTGATCATATACCACAACACTAACACGCCCCCTCAAACGAAAGCCACTCATAAGGGTTTGAAGTTTGCACAGGTCTGAAGACAATAATACCATGTGCTTAACAAATGGGGTCACCGGGAATCGAACAGAAGACCTCACGGTCACAGAAGACTCTGATACCATGTCAAGAACCAGTTGATCCCACTAACTCGAGTTGTTGGAAGAGGTTTAATCGTTGATCATAGACCACAACACTAACAATATCAACGTCGACGTTAATGGTTCCACCCGCGGGATCAGTAGTAATGTTCTTGTTCGTGATCAGGGCGATATTAATATTGTTATTGGCAACTGTTCGAATATATCTTGCCTCAACCCGCAAAAGAGACCATCAACGGAGGACTGCTGGAGGAGTACTGCATTTACAGTACTAGTGAGTTTTATATTCATTCAACAGACCCGCTCGGACAGATGGTCGTTGGATTTCGATGATTCCTTCCTGGCGTCTCTGTGATTGGCATAATTAATCCCCACAACCGTAGGCTTCTCCGGTTTGTTCGATTATTGTGAGATTTTTCCAGAAATAGCACTGTTTAAAAAATAAATTCCAAAAATAGCACCCAACTCCGAAAAATTCCAAAAATAGCACATTTTTTGTAAAACCGCCACCCGGAGGTGCGTTTTTCGATGAAAACGCGACCCGAGGGCGCGTTTTTCGATGAAAACCGCACTGGTAGGGAGCGGTTTTGCAGACCGCACCCCCAGGGTGCGTTCTGTTTTTTTTTTTTTTTTTGAAAAATCCTAACTTAGGTGGAAACTTCAAACGAACGTATCTTTATGTTCGGGTATCCGATCGTCGCGATTTTTTTTTTGATTCCGCATAACTTTTTAAGATCTTGCAAGCCGAAGACTGCCAAAGGTGCTTTGGTCTCCCCTTCATACAAAAAAATGTCGTTTGCTACCCCGAACGAGCTTTTTTCCGATTTCGTCAAACTTTGGACAACCGTAACTTTGTGCTCCAAATCCAAACGGCATGACTTTTTTTTATTTCGCATAACTTTTTAAGGACTACAATTTTTACTAGGAATGTATTTTCAAAACAGGAATTATTTTTGGATATACAGGATTTTGGGAATAGCTTATCTTCCCTTCTCAGCAATCCACGTACATTTTGAAATTATGTCTATGATAAAAGTTGTATTCCTTAAAAATTTATGCGAAATAAAAAAAAATTCATGACGTTTGGATTTTGGAGCACAAAGTTATGGTTGTCCAAAGTTTGACGAAATCGGAAAAAAGTTCATTCAGGGTAGCAAACGACATTTTTTGGGACGAAGGCGAGACCAAACCACCTTTGGCAGTCTTCGGCTTGCAAGATCTCAAAAAGTTATGCGGAATAAAAAAAAATCGCGACGATCGGATACCCGAACATAAAGATACGTTCGTTTGAAGTTTACACCTTAGTTAGGATTTTTCAAAAAAAAAAAAAAAAAAACAGAACGCACCCTGGGGGTGCGGTTTGCAAAAAAAAAAAAGCAAGAACACACCCTGGGGCTGCGGTATGCAAAACCGCTCCCTACCAGTGCGGTTTTCATCGAAAAACGCGCCCTCGGGTGGCGTTTTCATCGAAAAACGCACCTCCGGGTGGCGGTTTTACAAAAATGGTGCTATTTTTGGAATTTGTCGGAGTTGGGTGCTATTTTTGGAATTTATTTTTTAAACAGTGTTATTTCTGGAAAAATCTCGATTATTGTTTGCATGGTGCGCAGAGTAGGCCGAGCACCACAACTCCACAGCTCGTAAGTTACGTTGGTCGACGATCGAGTAGAATACAATTGTACGTTTAACGTATTCAAAGAAATTTGCTTGTTTGCCGTATGTTTGTTCGTCTTTTTGATATTCTGGGATGATTTAATTTTTCTTAATTAGTGCTGCCGTGTGGGGTAATTAAGGGATATCCATGAAATTATTGCGTTTGGGGTTGCAAAATGATCATGATAGTGACCACTGACAACGGGCTAAATGCAACCATTATTACGTTTGTTTGTCGCATGATGCCTAACTTTTTCTTAATCAGTTCTTTTTTCTAGCACTACTAAACGTGTTTTTGTATTTAATTTGTTAAATTACTCACGTAATTTTTTTAAATTTCCATGCATTCATACTTATTTTTTGAAATTTTACCTCCCGAAACTTGATTGTGAAGTCAACGACGAATGCTTCAGCAACCCCTAAACATTTAGTGTCCCTAGATGCAGCCCGATTCGAACCAACTATTTACTCTACCAAATTAGGACTCACAAGAATATAGATGAGAAGCCAAAGGTCACATAGCCTGGTGGTAAGGGAGGAGGACTGGTGACCATAAGGTCCCAGGTTCGATCCTCACCGCCACCATGGTGTTCCCGGAGGCATCCCGCTATCACCCGGACCGCCGGCGGAGGTCCCGGGGTTTAGCCCGACTACGGCACCACAAAATGTGGTGACCGTGGAGGGTGTTCCTCGTTATAAAAAAAAAAGAATATAGATGAGAAATATTAATTTGGTAAATCCAAAAGTGATATAAGAAAATTAAAGTAAACTACTATGACGTGGGTCGATGTGAAAGCTGATGTGTACTTAAGACGTTGTTAATTGTAATAGATCAGTAAAAATTTATAATATAATTAAAGGGTTTTCTATTAAATTTTCATTTTAATAAATTTAAATACTTTCTTACAAAATAAATGATTTTCTATTAGTTTATATTAGCTGAAAAATTAAACACAATCATTTTTTTGATTATTAATTAATTTTATTTATCCAAAAATAATTCTAGTCTAGTCTCTATCTTTAGTTCATACCAATGGGCAGCCCATTGAGACCATACTGAGGTCAGCTATCTTTTAGGCTTCTGATCAAGAAGGATGTCCAGCTAACACTCATGCACCTAGCGACATAAGCCTTATATTGGCCCACTAAGCTATGATTTATCTGTTACAAACTCACAATATGCAGTGTGAAGAGTTTAGAAGATCTCATCTTATTATTTTGCATACTTTTTTTATTAAAATGTAATGAACTATATTTTATTTATTTTAAGGGTTAATAGCATTTTCTAAACCTCTACTATGATAAGTTAACAAACGTATCTCTCTACTAAATTTTTGCACGAACATACTCTTTTAGTGGTAAAACGTAACAATTTTACCCCTCCGTCTAATTTTCTGTTAAGTGATCGTTAAATGGGTTGTGAAAGAACCCAATTGCCCTTCATTTAATCACAAAACACACCTAATATATATTTTGTATATTTTATTTCTCTAGCCCAAGTGATTATTTTATTAATTTCTCTAACCCAAGTGTTTATTTGTTAAATTTTCATCGTACATAGAAGTTCTCCGCCTCTGCAAAGCCCCCGAACCCTGAACAAGGAACTCCTGCGTGAATCAACTCCGGCACCGATCGCTCGACGGCGGCTAGAGCAAGCTTCTAGAGAGCAGGAAGGCGTCTGGAGCGACTCTTCCTCTCCTTCGGCGACGCAAAATTCGCAGGCTCTTCTCCCTTCGTTAGTTCCTCCAGCGAACGGATAGCAATTGTGCTCCGACCTCTTCCCCTCCATCGACGCAACATCCCGGCCTCCATCTTCTCCCTTCATAAGTTATATCGACTGCCTAGTCATTCGATAAAGAATTCCCCCCAAACGAAAATCCCATCTTCCTATTTGCCTCAATGAGGAAGTTGCAAATGCCGAATCATGTTATTGTTTTTTGTTGGTTGTAATTGTCTTTTCTGTGTGGTTGCAGCTAGTACTTGAGTTGGATGGAATGTATATTGATGGTAGGTATTGGAATCTCATAATCAAAGAGAGTTTGTTTCTTAAATTTCCTGTTGTTCTATGGATGTGGCTGTGGATTGGAATACGACTCAAATGTCCAGAATAGCTTGAGATAAAGAGAATAATTTGTTGTTGGTGTAGATTACTAGAATGAAATTAATTAGAACCAAATCAATTAGCGTGAGATAAAGAGAACAATGGTTGTTGCTGCTCATCATCTTCGTATGCAGATCCTTTTTTACAGTAAGGTCAGACCACTTGTTTGCTGCTACTCAAGAAAGACCAGATCACTTTGTTTGCTGCTGCAGATTTCTTTTTGTCAATTAGTTGCCCTCGTAATGGCTTCTTGGGTTAAAACCAGCCACACTTGGAACTTGTTCAGTTACTCGGTCCACTGCTTCACCATTCTAGTTACTGAATTCATCAGCTAACGCAAGCAAAGGTGTTGTTGTTGGTACTGGTATGTTCATATCTAGAAAACCAAGTTACTTTATGTTGTCAACTACTACATTCAAAATTAAACTAAGAAACCAGTCGGTTGATGCATAATACCAAACTGCAGTTCCAAAGTTACTTTCTGCTATCAACTAGTACATTCAAAACTAAACTCAGAAACCAGCCGGTTTATGCATAATACCGAACTGCAGTTCTGTAGTTACTTTTTGCTGTCAACTACCACATTCAAAACTAAACTATTAAACTGTAGTCGTGCTCTCTTGGGTGTCACCATGTCCACTTCCTCCTTCTTAGTCAAGCCTTGCACCAACTCCAGCTTGTTTGTTTGTTTGTGGTCGAGGGACTTGAATGACCCTTCTGCTTTTCAAGCTTGGCTATAGAACAACAGTGACAACAAATCATTTAACTATTGATTGACTTAAAAGGCCCGAATTGCAGAGTTAGAGGCAAATTTTATAAGACTTACATCCATGACTATGAAATCACTTGGATTGTGGTGCAAACCCACCCCTACATAGGGTTTGCTCTTCTTCTTTGGCGGTCTCCTCTCCTGACGGCTACTGGTCCCAACACTTTCAGTTTGGTCTTGTATCTGACTTGAGTGACCAACTCCGAAATATTTTATTAGACAAGTATGGAAATGAAAGATAAT